GAGGAGCTGGATGAAGTGGCCGGGGAGAGGGAAGTCTGGGTTTTCCTGCTGAGACTGCTGCCCCCGTGACCCGGCATCGGATAAGCGGGAGATAATGGATGGATGGATGGATGGATGGCACTGCTCACCATAATTTAATTTCAGTCTCATTTTACACAGCAGTGTACAAGGCCTATATATTTTACCTAGGAAATCGAGTGATACTGTGATAATCCCAATACATGAAAAGGAATTTCCAAACAAGCAAAAACATATTGCTCAAACTGTTATAGATAATGGATGGATAGTGCCTAGCTGTCCTACAAACATAAATTTGAATGTCAAATCAATTCACTGACAGCTAACAGCTTAAGTCTAGCATCAATCATAAAAAAAAAAGTTATCGTATCTGGCAACTCGGGTCCAAGTTTAATGTGATCTCTTAATTGATCTCTTAATTGCTCCCCTTGTGCTCAAGTCATTTTTGAAGTTGTTGTTCTTGAGCCTCGAAAATAGAGTGTGGGGGGAGGGTCTTTTTTTCTTCTTCATTTAATTAGGAAGAAAGTACTCTTTACCTGCTTTGAAATTCAAACTGAGCATATATTTGTCATAAAACAATAACATTTCTCAGTTTCAACATTTGATATGTTGCCTGTTCTATTTCAATTAAATATGGGTTTATATGATTTGCAAATCATTGCATTCTGTCTGCATTTTACACATTCTTCACATTCCAGCGACTTGCAAGATCATCTGCCCAACAAGACTAAATGAGTCAATATATTTGGGGATATGGAAGCAATGTATGGAACATAATGAAATAAAGCAGAAAAAATATCGGTGGCACAATTGTGTGTCAAAAAGAAAAATACAAAAAAGTTCATAAGCCAGAAGCTGAAAGTGATTGTGAAAGGGAGCTCAATGGTGGATGTACACTTTCCACTCTTTGGAATGAGAAACACGAAGACAGAAATGAAGACACAGAGATGACCATGGTGCAACTGCTGCCATGCACAGTGAAAGACCCAGTGGTGAGTGAGGCAAGAGGTGTTTACAAAGAAGAGCACATACTAGCAAGATGTAAATATACACACACCAGTGACATACATTCTGACCCCATATACACACAATTACACAAACACACACTGAGTCTTCTCCATTACTTTTCCTCCATCTCAGCAAGCTGGTCCAGTTCTGAACGCCACAAGATATCACTCTCCTGTCGGTTGAAGAACATCAGCTTGGTGTTCCTGGTGGGGCATACATAGGATAAAAATATTGTAGGTTATTTTATTTTTCGGCAGGCTTGTACCGCACAGCTTTTGCTGCCGCAAACACTCCCCTCTATGGAAGTTGTGAATGAGAAGCTAACTTCAGCCAAAGAATAGGACGCTGCGAATAGGAAAGTGTAAGTAGCCAACTTCAGCCTCGTGAGCAGCAAATTTAACAAGACCTGGTCATCAAAAGGCAACTCGCAGCAACACTTACCAACTTCTTTGTGTGACGCTATTGGTGGATAATAAACTATAGCCAAACATAATGTGTTAATTTTGGATAAATTATCAGCTCCTTTTCTAATTATAAATAATGCAATATTTATCTAAAAAAATAACATCACAAACTGAATTTTTTCCAGTATTGTGCAGCTGAAATTTGAACCAAGTGAAAGTTAAACAGAGCCATAGTCTCATGATCACTTAGAGATCGACTGTGCAGCTAAAGGCTTTATCATGAGTCTGTTTTACTGATTGATCTGCCACGATATGCATTAAAATGATATGCTGTGTAGGATCACACATGCACATATCACAGGGCCTAAATTCCAGGTGGCCTGAGACAAGGCCGAGCC